CATATGTTATGGTACCCAGCATGGCACCCTGTTGGGAGTCCCTACCCCCTTAAATATTAGAGACAAACAAATATGGCAGGATCCCAACAAATCTGATGCAAAAGGGTTTCATACTATGCATGTGAGCACACTCAAGGAGGTAGGGTACATTATTGGACCCAGTCTCAAGGCTATGAGAATACTACTTATGAGGCTCACTCTCAAGGTTATGGGAAACTGCTTCTCTTAGTGGCCCAGACACCTAGGTGAAGAAGCCAGACTGCCTCCGTTTACCCTACACCATTCTAAGATGTTAAGTGAAGCATTTTTTTTGTGTGTGTCTTTTGAATTTCCTTGTGAGTACTCCTCTTCCACCAGATGGATTTTCCTATCCTCTCTTCATTCAGGTTAGCCTTCAGTAGGGGCACAATACATGGCAGGTCTTTTCTTCACTTCCGTGCTGCCTTGCCTATGCCCTCCATTCTTGGCTTACACTGAGCTGCTCATTGTAGGTTCTACCCGTTGAAGGTAAGATATTTCCTTTGGCAGTATTCCATGATTTAAACATCTCTTTTTCACCTCTTCTATTAACTCAGTGTTGCATTATTTTATTTTTTTCATGTGGAATTTTTGCCTGTATTAGGTAATAATAATAAAAAACAGGCTTGTAGTCATCACCCTTCCAAAGAATATTTTCATTTAGATAGGACTGTCTTCCCATCACTTAAAGGAATTAGTATCTAACTCTGGGACTTGGGGCCCTACCATAAGGAGACTTCAGGTTAGTTCGGGAATATTTGGAAAATGTGAAAAGAACAAGAATAATTTAAGTTTATCCATCCAATTACAATCAAACCTGAATTTTTAGTCAATGACAAATCATTATGAAACTTAAAATCTTGATTGAGCATTTCATTAATATTCCCGGCCTATTAACTTTTCCATCAATGTGATTGTTATTTTATAAGCTGGGATTTGGACTTGTTTTGAATTGTCTTCCTGTCCCTTTCTTGGTGAGGAAAAGTAGAGGAAAGGTTATGGTTCTAGCAGGCATGACTGGATTTCAGGGTTGTTTTTATAACTGGAAGGAGAACATGCTTGTAGGTATCCCAGGCTGTAGCTCTCTGAAAGATCCTCTCACATGGCTTGCTTAGGTTTTACTTTCATTTTGTATTAAACAAAAAGTCATTTGAGGGCTATTTAATGCTCTGGTTTGTGTTTTCCAATACTAGATAAAAGTTAAACAGATGAACCATTTGGGGGGTAAGGACTGGGAAATCCACGGCTGCTAAAATGCTTTAAAGTTTCAAAATGGTTTTGTTTTTTAAACCCGTTTTCCATGTTCCAGCAGCTGTGGGTTTTCCCAGGGCTCCCCCTGTGGCTCAAAAGGGAGCTGCTTAATGCTTAACAGATGAGCCAATTGAGTTTTTAAATGCAAAATTAAACTTAAAGTGCACAAAGAGCACAGGGGAATCCATAGCCAAGTATAGACTGAAGAAGGAGAGTGAGCCTGAGCACTGGGCTATGGGAAGAGAGCCTCTTCTACAGCAACCAGCAGCAAATGGGAGGAGGGTAGAGGCATGTTCATCTTTTCATTAACTCTCAAACTCTCTGTAATCACACTCCATGTTGTGAAAAGTTTTTCATAACTATTTTCTTTAGACTTGTTTATATACATCTATTTTTATTTAAGAACAGAAGAAAGAAAAGAAATAGATGGGTAGGCTCTATGAAATACAAGGAAAACTATGTTTTGAACTCCATCAGGTCTGTTCTCTTCAGTGATGGTAAGACACTGTGGTCCCCAGACATTGTTTTTTCCTCAAGTCTCTGGGCACTTTGCTTCCTGTGCTCCAGACACTCCACAGATCGTCCAGATTTTCAGATGACTCCGCCTTAAATGTGAGGAGCCAGGACAAGAGTGGACTTTGGTTGGGATACAGTTTGCCAAGTCACCAGATAAACTGTTTCATTATTCATCTAAGTATTTGAACATAAAAAAGCATTGGATTTTGGTGTTTAAAAGTAAGATTCAGCAAAAAGTTTTTACCAACTCTGATAGCCTTCTCTGATTCAAGAAAAATCATCCTGACACAGTTAAAAAAGACTTCCCATTTACTTTTGTAAGTGCTTTTACTTAAGGGTTCCCACCATGATCAAGACTACAATTTCATCAGGGTACTTTCTTTTATTGAAAGTGATAAAATTTACAGTTGAATTCAAAATTGTGGAAATCTTTTTGGGAGTCAACCTCATAATTTTAACAAGTTTTTCATAGCAATAAGTACACTGGCATTCCAGAATGAGACACAGCTCCAGTGAGGTTTATCAGACCATATAACCATCCAGATATCTAGCCAATGAATATTGGAAGCATGATTTCTGTAGTATTTGGGCAAGGTATGTCCCTCATTGTCTAATGCAGTTCAATTGCACCTAGGAATATTTAGGATAATCTGGAAAAGTACTTTTGAGAAATGACAAAACCATTGAAAAACTCTTGTTGCACAGGTCTTATATCCATACTCAGATTTTAAGCTAGGAAAGTATTGAAAATCCTTTATTGGGTCATTTTTGGAAAAATCATTTTAATGGATAATAACCAAAAAATGTTATCATGCCAGCAGACTTCACATTAAGATACAAAGAAGAGGATGCTACAAAGCTTCAAGTTTACATTTGCTATATCACCAAGTTCAGCAATGGCTAGTGAAGTCACAAGTTTAAATAAGGCTAGAAAAGTGCACATATATGTATCTGTATGTGTACACACATGCACACATAAACCCCTACCTTTCTAACCTTATGTAAAATTGTCTTTTCAACTACAAATTACATTCCTTAGGAATTTTTATATCTTTTAAATATTTATGTATATATATATATATATTTAAAGATTTTATTTACTTATTTTTAGAGAGGGGAGAAAGGAGGGAGAGATGGAGAGAAACATCAATGTGTGGTTGTCTCTTACATGCCTCCCACTAGGAGCTTGGCCCACAACCCAGGCATGTGCCCTAATTGGGCATTGAACTGGTGACCCTTTGGTTCACAGGCTGGCACTCAGTCCACTGAGTCACACCAGCCAGGGCATAAATATTTTATTTATTTATTTTTAGAGAAAGGGAAAGAGACGGAGAAAAACATCGATGTGTGAGAGAAACATTGATCAATTTCCTCTTGCATATCCCCAACTAGAAACCTGGTCTACAATGCAGGCATGTGCTCTGACTGGGAACTTTTTACTTTGCAGAACAACACTCTATCCACTGAGCCACACCTGTCAGGGCAGCATTTTTATCTCTTTCAAACTTTAAAGTGAGTGTAATTATTTTAGGTTTTGAGGTTCACCCCACCCCTGCCAAAAAGAATAAAACAAACACATACCACCTTCCCCCACAAAAAATCCTAACTAACTGTAAAAATGATCTTTATCACTTTGTCTCTTTCTTATGACACTTGTCAACCCTTAATTGTTTAATGGAACAATTATTTTAACTTAATCATTTAAATGTAAAATGTTGATTGTAATAGACAACTTCTGAAAAATAGATTGAGGATGAGTATTCCTACTCTTCATTTGGGATTGTATTCAGAGAGTTGTGCCTCTCAGGCAATCAAATGCACTGAAGTCATTGACTACAACTAGCCTTGTCAGTCAGCCTAAAGGAAAGATAGTTGTGAGGTTGTGCTCCTGCAAAAGCAATTATATGGTTAATTGCTTTAGTGCGAACCTAGCCATTGTGATTAAAGCCTTCATTTGGTATTTAGGTAGAGCAGAGTTCTCATGCTTCAAGGCACTGCTTGGCAGATCTAGTGCTTTCCAGGCCTTGAGAAATTGTGCTGAGGAATCAGCATATTTCTTTGAGGAGTTGCAGTGTTTGGGGCAGGGCGGGGGGGTCATTCAGTAATTAGACCATATTCAAAGAAACTGGGTTAATTTGAATATGTAATCATTGGATCACATATTCATTATTTGCAACCTTTTTGAAAAGGTGATCAACAGAATGTGGATTTAAATAAACAAGAACATACACAACATTTGACATATTCTGTGTTTGAATTTAATGGGAATTTGTACTCACCCCCAAAGCATCTTATACCTCTCATCTAATGACTACATGCCTGTGTAATGCTACTGGTGCAGTTTTCAGGACGTAAATGAAAAAGACAATCTACTGTACTCTAATAAAATGCTATGGCTTATTTCTTCAGAATCCCAAGTTTAGTTATTTATCATCGAATTTGATTAGCAAAAGTTAGCCACATTATTTATACACATATACACAATGACATTCACACATGTACATATGAATGTATGAATGTGTATGTAGATTAACTTTGATACACATGATATTTCAATATTTTATGTAATGTTTTCTAATTTTGTAAAATTCTACAGAATCAAAATCATTCCTCCTTTCCTCTCCAGTGAAATGTTGGCTTCAGAGTTCACTTTTTACAAAGGAATTCTAAATCATTAAATAAGTAGAATATTATCCTTTTTGTTTTTTTCTTAAATTACCCAACATACTTTTTGATCCTTTCACAAGTAGAAGCTAACATGCATTGATGGATTAAAAAAGTAGCTATCCACGTTCTGGTAATTCAGATACAACACCATTTTGAACTGATTCTTTTAAATACTCATGAGAATCACACAAGAGTAATTGATGATGACTACAAATTACTTGCATCTTATTTATGTTAAACCTATCCTGTAATCTGTTACCATATAATGGGCAATCATATCATTCTGTCAATTGTTAAAACAATTGATTTTTATTAATTTAACTATTTATTGCTCTTGTATAACCTCATAAAACTAACCCCAGTGTATATAAGGCATTTTAGAAATACTACTTGCTCCTAAATAGATGCAGTTATTAAAATTTACCTTTTAAGAAATTAACAAAACATGAGGAACATATTATGGTATAGTCCTCATCATTTTGCATTGTTCTCCCACAGTTGCCTTCATTTCAGGGTGGATCTGTGAATGTTAATAGCAGATGCATCACGTGCAGAAGCTGGGAGCAAGCACACTATGTTTGGCATATAGATTCTTTGTAGGAACAAATTTTACACAAAGCCTGGTGCATCAAGTTCTCATTTTATTTCAAAAATGGAACCTTTCTCTTGGACTGCTTTGACTCAATATTTCCTACCACTGTAAAAATTTCCTCATAAAAGAGTGAAATACTAAAATTGAATGGGAAGTAATAGAAAAACATAACCTCTATTCCCCGATGCAAAAATCAAATATGCAAATATGAAAATGAGAGGACTCTGTTTCTTCCCCTTATACAACTGATTAAATTGTCACTGCTGGAGATTACATGGGGTTTTATTCCCTTTACAGACATATTCAATTGCACAGACAGAAAAATACATTGTCACAGACGAGACCCACCACCTGGGTACACTGTGCTGCCAGTTGCATGTAGAGGTCTTATCCAAAACTTTGCGGCTACCCCTTTAAAAAAAGAAAAGTATTAGATGTGATCATTTATTACAGACTACATGATCCCTAAAGTCCTTCCCAACTTAGACACTCCAGTAAGACAAAACCTCCTCCTCTCATTGCCAGATATCAGCCTGCAGTTTAATTCCTACATAAAAAAATCTCCACTAGTACACCCCTTGTTATATTGACTCTAAAACATTATTGATATAGCATGAGAATTCCATTCAAAAAATGTCAGAGGCTGTTCTTTTTCTATGTTTGCATTTTATTTCCTCAAGAATTGATGAATTTATTTGCTGGCTTATCAGTTTTGTCACTGAATGTCCCCCTCCCCCACTTTTGCCCAATTGTCCTGCCAGAAGGAAATATTTGATTCTTGCAAAAACTGGATATAGAAACAGAAAGATTACCTTTGCTTCTCTTATGTCTTGCCGAGGTTCTGAAATGGATACCACAGTCTGCCTGGATGTTAACAGAAGTTGGTGTTCAGTGACGATGTCGCCTGCCTGTGTCACTCTCCACGGCAGTTGAGCAGAGAGCTGCCTCCAGCTGCAAGCCAGGGGCCTCAGTGTTAAGGACACACAGATCTACTTTGTTAAAGAGATCTTTTCTCTGGTGCACAGAGATGTAGCCACAGGACAGGGAGATTTAACAACTAAAAAAGGTGGTAGGCTGATGTTTTTGAATTGGAGCATTCAGAAAAGAAATAACAGCAGCAAAAAAACAAAATAGTGAGCAGATGCTTCATTGCAAGGACAAGCGAATAGGAACAAGTCTATTTGCCTTTAGATTTGTAGTACATATACACATGTTACTTTGCTATAGAAGGGAAGGAATTGATCCCCAAAGAATTTTTAGGTGGCTTGAAGTATGACTGAAAATATTTCTGTTGCTCTTGTTGTTTTATACATTCAGCAAAATGACGCTTATGGATATTTTTTAACTAGATGGGATCTCTATCTGTTGTTATAGCTGTAATTTGAAATTTTGTCTTCTCAGATTACATGAAGAAGTAAACAATCAAGTCTCTCCTTTCTATATCATGTAGTTGGGTGAAAGTGCAATGAAATGAAGTGATTTCTCAATGTCAAAACCCCCAAATCCCATATACATTTTAAAACACAGAAACATATCTCATGCTTAAATATATCATTCTCCTTTAACTTGAGAATTTTTTAAAATATTGCTTCTTAACCTTATGTGTGCCATTTTCATATAATAAATCTGGTCAATTCAGATATCTTTTTTGCTGTCAAATTAAAAGCAGAATTATATGTGCTCTGTTGGCTTAAACCTGTGTACTCATACGCCTGAGCCCTTTATTTTCTTTTTGTTTTTATTTCTGTCTTCCCCATGGTTCTTTGTGTTTCTTTTGTTTTCTTTTCAAGACTTCCCAGGGGTTTTGTTTTATCATACTGTTTTCTTTCCATTGTTCAAATGCTTTTTGACAAAATTTCCATATTTAATATAATTTTCTTGGTTTTGTTTAATTTTTCCATAGTTTTATATTGTTGCTTTCCCCCACTTTGTTTCTCCTTTTTTTTTTCTGGGGCATTGTGATTATTTGTGAAAACACAATTCCAAAAGTCAGAATAGTATTATATGGACAAGTTTTCTACTGAGTGTCCTTATCTTTTAATGTTTTGTTTTTTGACATGTTTATGCCCTCTCCCAGTACTTACCATTTTAAATCATCTTTTCATCAATTGCATAGTCTTTTCTATTACTAATAGCCCTTCTTCATTCTTCTCTTGATATCCTGATTTCCCAGGCATCTAGTCATTACTAAAATTGACCACCATTTATTCAACACTTAGTAGAAGCTCTATATTTAATGCTTCATACATATTCCCTTCAACTCTAAGCTACAACCCTGGAATAGAGGCATTCTCATCTCTGTTTGATACCAGGGAAGCCAGTGGCCCAATGATTAAGGTACTGTTTTAAAGCCACACAATTACTGTGATAGCACATATTTGATACCAGACTATCACACACCAATTTACCTTCTCTTTCAACAAAATTGCATTGAGGCAAAAATCAAAAGTATGTTTTAAAATGGTTAGGTATAGAGGAAGATATGCTTACTTGTTAAACTTCACAGATTCATATTCAGCTTATTATTTATGCCCTCATAACTGAAACAATAAAATAGAAATTACTTTATGTTTTTCTTTTGATAACATTTACCAACTTTAGTTTTATTCCTGATCCAAGAAAAAAAGCTTTAAACTCAAATTGCTATCTTCAAAAAAATTTTAACAAGAGCTATGTCCAAGTTTTTCTTTGTATAGATAAAAATTTACTAACATATAGTTGTAAATGTAAACATTCCATAGCAGTAAGTTCCTACTAGTAAAATAAACAAGAAATGACAATTCTAGAAGCATTAAGAGATTGTGTTGTCTCTGAATACACATAACATCATATCGGCCTTTCCAGGAATGACATCAGTGATCAGATATGTTTTCACAGTTGTCAAAGTCAAGGAGAAAACATGCCATACTAACCTCCTTGCACCTGCTTTTCCCCATCCTTCCTTCCCTGTATTATATTTGCCTTTGGGAGAATTAAAGCATTATGTATTTCTTCATGTTCCTCATTTAGACTTAGAAAGTCTCATACTTCCTGCTAGCATGATAACACACAGGTGTCATTCTCTAAAAAGGTCAGTTTGCAAGTTCCATAACCCCACCATTTAATCATTTCCACCCCTTTCATATTATTCTTGTAATTATAATACATATACTATTAAAAATAAGTATATATATGTTAATGTTAAGAAATGGACACATATTTTATATTCCATTAGAAGTCTCTAAAATTGCAGCAGCTATTGCCATGAAAAAGCTCTATTTCTCAACTTGGGAAAGAACTTAACAAAATTTTATTTGATGAATTTTAGTCCTGAAAGCTGTTATTATATTAAGATATAATTAATGTCTGTGCCCAATAATCTCCTAAGAAATTGCAGAAAGAATAAAGTTAGCAACTAGCGGACCTAAAATAGCTGGATAGTTTTGACCACCAGGATAGAATAACAGTGCTGCAATGATTAAGAAAAGAAATGGGGAAATAAGGGGAACTTGACTTTAAATTTCAGCTCTACCAGTTTCCACCTTTGTGACTTAAGCAATTCATCTCATTCTCTAAACCTCCATTGCTCTATCTGCAAAGTGGGAATAGCAACGTTCACCTCCAAGGACTATGGGAGAATTGAATCAAGCAATGATATGGAGCATTCAGAACAACACTGGGTATTCAGTAAGTCCAGTGGAAAGGACAGCTGTCATAGTTATCATCATTATTACTTTTATTACCACTATGCATAACTAAAAGTTGATATTCTTTGCTCATTTTGGCACTATGTACTGAGCTGGAGAGTCCTTTATCCAGCTTGTAAGTGGCATTTAAGGTCTCAGTATTTTCTTCTTGATGTTGTCCCCACACTGTAATAACTTTCTATATAACTCTTATAACAATTTTAAGATCAACATTAAATCTGTACTAAATAAGACATGAGCAGCTCTTTTGTATATATTACAGTACTTGAGATTTAAGTCTACTGGCAAGTATTTAAGAGTGTAATCCATATAATGGTTCTTGCCTTGCTATATCAACTTTTATTGGCAGTTTATTTCCCTAATAAAAATCTCCAAGATGAGGCCCAATGTCTGGCACATGGAAGATATTCAATAAATTACTGTTAAAATAAGCTGAAGTGAACCTATATGTCATATCTGCCTAATGTAAATCATAAGTGCATTTAGGGTGTGTTTTATTCATTCATATTAATATATGTGCATTCAATCATTCAGTAGGCACTTGTTATATGTCTACATATGATAGGCACTGTCTCCTAAATAATCTACCCAAGGTCAGGGCCTTTGCATATAACTGTATATGTCTGTATCTTTCACATTTTGCACAGTGACTGGTGTATAGTAGGTCCTCAAGAAATATTTGCTAAATCAATCAGTTAAATTATATTTTTGATGGATTGCTTTTCAGGATACATGGGAACAGCCTGGAAAACTGCATGATCAAAACAAAAACACCAAACAATCTGATGGTGATAAGATCCATCTTTCATGACTACTTGCTACACTGAGTATAATCAGAACTCAAAAGCTTGCTTCAAAGTTTCACTACTAGGAGCCAGTATATTTTCAACTGGGTCTGTCAGTTTTCCTAAGAACAGCTTTCCCCTGAAATAAAAAGAAAGAATGAATAGTAGGTGAAAAAATAATGATAATCATAAGCAACACTATTAAATATACAACTCTGGGAATTATATAAAGATCTGGAAATCTAATTATTGAAACTAGGAGAGGTGCAGATATATCAGCTTTACTGAGAGTTGCTTTTATAAGAAAGAAGTAGTATATTTGGTAAGAATAATAGAATTTTGTTTTGCTTAGAGACCTTAGAAATTAGACTATCACTCTAATATTTACAGATATTAGAAGACCCAAAAGAGATTCAGAGACTAACCCAAGGTCAGTTGGATCCAGAACTAGGGCTCTGTTCTCTGATGTCTAAGAAAATAAACAATCTCACCACTGTATCAAAAGACCTATTAAATATAAGTGCTAACATGTATAATTCCATGAATAGTGACATTTAAAATTATCTGTAAAACATCAAAAATATTTGTAAGAGCAGAAAATGTGAAAGTAAATATTCAACATGCCATTGGTGTTATTTTCCATTAAAAAAAGGTTTTAAAATAATAGAAACTTCGGTTGTTCAAGCATAATGTACTTCTATTCAATTGAGCCCCTAAATCCAGATTAAGACCAGAGGAAATTCCAATGGGCATGCTTCCCTCCACTCCCCAGACATTCATATTGAATTTTAAATTCATGTTAGCAAATGCCTATACAATCAAGGAAGGGGAAAAAAAAGAGGGAGTGAGGTTAGAGGGTGGTGCTGAGCAAATTTCTGAATGTGAATTTGCAATTTAATCATGGAAGATTTCCTTATATCTAAAACATACAGAGTTGTTTGAAAATAGCAAGTTGGAAATATTTCTTAAAATTCAAAATTTAGAAATTGCAACCAATCCTTTACAAATAATCATTTAAACAGTAACAGAAGACAATGATGATCGATTCTGTAGTAAATTTATCTGTAAGTAAAAGGCACAGATTGGTAGGGGTATGTATTTATAATATTGCTATATGAAAGAAACAAGGGGTCATTGTGTTAATTTCATAGAAAGTTACTACTTTGGAACAGGCTTTAATTAAACATTCATTCCAAACTATATTGTCTTCACACTGCTGTTTAACTAGGTGGCATAAATATTCTTGAGAAGTGAATTTATCTGTATAATCTTCTATAGGCATAAAAGTGAAGGGTGACCCAGGATCAAAGCTTTAAAATGAATGAATGCATTTCTTTCAGATTTATAATAACATTCTTGCTGTTAACAAATATAAATGTAACATTTACTAGGAAATAAGAGACTGCAGACGGAAATAAACAAACCTAGGATGTAGTTCATCTAAGTAAACACTGAGGTTGTAAACCTTCAAACTCACATATCAAGAGCCCTGCAAATTAATGCTACACACAATAGGCCCTTTGGAAGCCAACTTAATCCACCCCCCTGAATCTACATGAGGGCTATGCATAACAATGCAGAAGCTGGGTTTCCATTAAGAGTTTCCTCTGCAGGCTGTCAGCTGTTTGAAGAAATAACAATTTCCTAGGCATGAAAGCTTTTTCAGAAGGTTCCCACTGATGTGTAATAAAAGTGACTTTCCTTTTTTTTTTCTTCTACTTTTTCCTACCTCCCCCACCCCGCCCCGTACCATGTAACTTTGTAGGGAGAAAAAGGGTGGACTAAGGCCATAGGCACCCTACTAGTTTACCTTACATGGATTATCAGTGCAGGTGTTAATATAATTGAAGGTGTGGTAGCAGATACAACCCCCTAATAGCTTTTCCTATATGGAGATTACCTAGGTAGAGAATGCCAGAGTACCTGAAGAATAGGCAAGCGATTACCTTATTAACATATCACCATTCAGCAGCAGCTGCATATCTGGAAGAAGAAGAGGGGGAAAAGAACCTTTAAAGAGCCTATTCATCGATGTTAATGGGCCCATTGCACAGCACATTGTGTGAGAAATTAAGTCTCTAGCTGTGAACTTCCTGTGCTGTGCAAGCTGCCTGGACTCTTTTTTATTGCCTCAGTGTTATTATCTCCTCCTGGAAATAAAAACAATCATGTTCTCACATTTGAGAAGCCAAAACATTCTGAGATAACAAAGTGGAGATGCTGGCTGAAAGTTTCCTTTGTCTCCCTTATTAAGTGAAAAAATATGTTTTGAAATTAAAACGACCCCCAAATTTACATCAAAACACATCAAATCAACTGAGGTGCCCTGTGAACAACAAAGATTTTTTCCCTCTTCTTATAAAATACTCAATTAAATTTGCTTTTCCAGTTATCATTCCTTTTTCAGAATTAATTTTTGACAACCTAATTTATTCAAATCAGACATCAATTTTTTAAAACTGTACAACTGGCCAAAATTATTTTCCTCCCAGAAGATAATTATAATAGACAATAAAAATGGTATTAATTCTCAGGAAACAATTTCAATTCAGGACAGGCTTGGCTAACATTTAAAACATGAAAATAGAACAGGTAATTTAGGATTAAGTAAATTCCTCCTTTTAGATCAGTTGAAAGCCCAGAAGGTTTGCTCTTTCCTTTTCTTGGTTGTTGCAAGACCATCATGCAAACCTATATACATTTGGCATAAAAATAAGTCCTCTTCAGACTGAAACAACACATTTCCATCATTTTGTGTGCACATTACATCATCATCACCACCACCATTATCACTAACATCCTCATCATATAATAAAGGGCTAATGATCAATACTAACTGATTACAACTCAATTAACAGGAAATCTCCCAGTGCAATTTTAAAAGAACCCGCTTTCCTTCAGATCTGAAGTATTTTCAAGTTCACCTATTATGTTTAACAGTTTTAAAGAGTATTGAAGACAATAACAAGAATACTGTAATTCAATCTGAGGCTTGACTCTGTTAATGTACATTCTGCCTTCACTGGTAAAATCTGTCTGCACAGAATATAACAAGTCAATCAATGATGGAACATAAAGTCAAATACATCCAAGATGGATATATGGACACCAGAGTTTGTTAAGGCAATTCTTGGCACATTAAAGATTTTAGATTGTTCATTGGGTTCTATAAAAGATGAATAAATAAAAACTTATAAAGAGGGAAATAGGCAAACAGATTCTTTCCTGTGAATGAAATAATGGTAAGGATGACACCTTAATTTTATTAGCAGTGAAATGGCACTAGAACATTACCAGTGGTTGGACCTCAGTTCAGCATCCTCAGTACTTGAGTCTGTTTAAGAAAGAATTCAGAGTCAAGATTCAAATACAAGGAGCATTTATTTAGAAATTCACAGAGGTACAAAAAGGTAAGCCAGCTAACCTGCATGGTCTCAGGAAACAAGTGACAAAGACAAAAGAAAGACCCCTGGAGCTTAGGAAAAAGAAAGGCAAAGAGAACTAGTCAGTGGGAAAGAGATGGGGAGGAAGGCCTTCTCCAGAGAGAGGGAAAAGTCATGTAAGCATGCTGGGTCCTCTGTCCTGAGGATTTTTATCTGGAGGTCTCAGGGAAAGATTGCAATAAGAAATTTATTAGCTTTCCAGGTGTGTCCTTTGAGGGTCATGGTCTCTACTGATTCAGTGGTGCCAGAGTATGGGATCATTAGTCACTGGAGCTGGTCCTGCTGTCAGCCATGGAGTTGCTTATCTGGTTTTGCTGCTTTTCTGGGCCTGGAGTTGAAACACAACTGAGGCCCAAATGTCATCTCTAGTTTGACCAGAACTCTGACTCTATTGTTAGTAGACCCAAAGCTTTGTTCTTAAGATTATTGGATGGTGGTCAGAACCTCCTTGTCTTAAGGGCTTAATGCTTAAGGGAGTGATTATGCCAGAGCTTGTACAGGAGTTATATGAGGCTTTTCTCCAACCCCCTTGTTTATCCTCGAAGGGAGTCTAACACCACATGACTAAGACATGTTAGGGGAGGGTTCCAGCCGCATGACCAATGATATGAAAGGTCAGGGCATCTAAACCATGTGACTAGCAATATGCTAAGGGAGGTCACCCTAGGGGCAAAGTCCCAGCTGACAATTGCCTGTTGCTAGGCATCCAGGGCTTGTGACCTTCCATACCTGGCCTACCATCCTCACTCTGCTCATGTCTAACTGCCTACTAAAATTTGTATAGTAAAATCAGTTATTTGAAATAATGTATACCATCAAGCTTTTTCCTCAGGGAAGGATAAGTAAATATTCCAAATTCTACTTAGTAATACTTCTGTTATTTATTTATCAACATATTTATGTGAAGATTTGAATGAGATGACTCTATTTGCTCTGGAGTCAGCTATTTTAATTCCAATGGGATGTCCATAAATGGCACATTTTGATACATTTTGGGAGAGATTGCTGACTTTCTACTGGCTTCTTAAAAGAGAAGATATTAATATACAGTAGATATAAACTTTGACTATCCGTTCTTTGCTTAACTACTTTATATTTCACGTTGCTTCATGTAGGCCACTAGATAAATGTAGGTTTTCTAGATTAAATTGCTCCCTTTGATTTTGTTATTTCAACAACCCTTCTGTAAAAGAGGAGCCTTTCATAACAGAAACATTTTTTGACAAAATTCCCTCTATTTGGGGGGAGTTAACATTTTATGGAATTACAATTCTTTATAACTGGGGGTTACTAAAAACAAGAGCTGAACACTACTGTTTTCGACATCAAGGAAGCTATTGGTATTTTAGAAATTATGGAGACAAGTAATTTAAAGAAGAGTAAAAAAAAAGAAATTTGAACTTGTTCCCTTAAGACAATTCAGGTTAATGGGCCATTCACAGTCCTATTAACACATAACAACTGTATGTGCCATGTAATCAGAGTGATATTGTTGCCTGCACAAAAGTGACATCAGAACTTGTCTTCATGGACATCAGCAGTGCCAGCCCCATCACCTCTGACTGCTCCGGCCCACATCTATTAACCTTATTGATTTGGAGTCCTGCTATGCCTCCCTGGAAAACTGCTCCCTGCTGAAAAGCTCAAGTGGATCAATCCTGAACCATGAACAAGAATTCAATAAGACAACACAGTTAGGACCTTTAAACATTAAGTATTCCTTAAAATAAATCAAATTAAGGACCTTGCCATAATGAAGCTATTCGAAGACTTTGAGATGTCAATAGATTCCATGTCCCCAAAAGAAAATTTTTTTCCAGAAGGAGCATCAGGCTGTTACAGGACACAACTTTTCATCTGTGGTAAAATAATTAAATATGATAAGGAGGTCAGGGTCAGTGTAATTAAAATGGCTGGCATGAGTAAATAAGTGGTTTTAAAGTCAAACCTTAAAATGTTAATATTTTCATAAGAAAATTAAACTCTATGGAGATGTAGAGTAAAAAACATATCCTAATAGAAAAAAAATTTTCCAGTGGCTATGAAAACAAATTAATTTTACTTATTTGTTTGCCATAACATGCTGCTGAATTTTCTAAAGTTTTTAGTAAATTTACAACCCTTTTCTAATTCCTAGTTAATAGAGAAGACAATGGAGTTGTTTAGAGCTTCATATCTCTCTACAAAGGCAGAAATGATCTAGGTATGTAACTGGTACAAACCCATTCATATTTAAATGTAACTGAATCCCTTACAAACTCAATTACTACCTTTCTAATAGCCTGTTCTTTGGGTTTTGTTTCTGCTCAAGGTCTTGATTTAAACTAAAAAACAAACAAACAAAAAAACCCAAAACCTCATTCCCTGAGAACCAAGAAATGATTTCTCAGTTGAAAAATATGAGGATCTTACAGTACCTATCCTTAACTTCTATACTCACAATAAAGGATATAGATGTAGTAGATAGATAGAATATTTTAACTTATATGTCATATAAATACATATTTACATTGTGTTATATATATACACATACCCATATATGTATATATGTAATATGTTTCTTTAGTTATGAATATTTCTACTTTCTAATTATATTTAAAAATGACTTGCTGTTTTTTAATTTTCTATGTAATATTACTGAGTGACTATACCTAGACATTTAAAATAGAACAGTTTTGCATTTAAAAATGCAGAGATACCATCTGTTCTCTCAAAAATAATATCGGTTGACATTTTGTTTTCCAAAAATTTTCTGTACATCTAAGAAAATTTAGTGTTACGATTTTTTTCTTTACTGGAAAATGTATAGTACAATGTATTGTTCATTAAAAGAAGACCCAGTCAATTAGTTAACATGGTGAAATTCACAATTTTGCTAGAATAATGGAAATTCATGTTTGCTTGCTATGATTGGTGTTTATCTTAGACTGATAATGCATAATAGCCCATGTGAAACATCTAACATAGAGTATATCATGTGTTATCTCTATTTAGCACCTCTAGGCAAGAATATTGTATAGGGAAAAAACCAAAATTACTGTTTTTCTTTATTGCCGGCTCTCTAAGGAATACACTGGAATGAGTTCTGTCTGCCAACTAATTGATAATTATTTAATTAGCAATTTATAATGACAATGGGATTTTACCCCCCACCAGTCCATCTCTTCTTTAAGACCAAAGTAGACAACCTTATGCATTTTTACACTAACTTCTGGGAGCTAACACCAGCCAAAGTGTGCCCTCACTGAGATTTCCCAAGTTAAACTCCAAAAGCAGCATGTGCCCCCACCTCCTTTAAATCGCAGCTTTTCCTTTTCCCATTACCGGGGGGTGACTGGCACTTTAACAATGCCTGTGGGTGTACAGCCTTGTTGTGTCACTGTGGACAGTTCTAACAGCAGCTTCATTAGTTCTTTTTACAACAAAAGATAGGGTTTTTCCCCTTGCCTTTTTCTTTCTTTCCCTTAGTTGGGACCCCCTGCTTGACTTTTTTTATTCCAGAACTTCTTTAGAATGGTGCAGCTATTCGAACACTAGGAA